GAATTAAGATGGAAATAATAACAGAAAGATAACTAGAAAATCCCAAAATATATGGAGATTAAGCAACAAACTTCTAAAAAACACATGGGTCAAGAAATAAATCTCAAGGGAAATTTTAAAATATTTTGAACTAAATGTAAATGAAAATACAACTTATCAAAGTTTATAAGATGCAGCCAAAACAGCGTTTAGAGGGAAATTAAATGCATATATTAGAAAAGAAGAAAAATCTAAAATCCTTAAGTTTCTACCTTAGGAAACTAGAAAACAAATAGTAAATTAAACCCCAAGTAAGCAGAAGAAACAAGAACTAGAGAAGAAATCAATGAAATTGAAAACAGGAAACCGGTGGGAAAAATCAACAAAACCAAAAGCTGATTCTTTGAAAAGGTTAATAAAACCAATAAGCCTCTAGCCTTTTTTCTAAGGAAAAAAGATAACACGAATTACTACTATCAGATATTAAAGAGGGAATATCTCTACAGATCCTCATGGACACCAAAAGGATAATAAAAGAGTATAAAGGAGCTGTCTGTACTTTCTGTTCATTTCTCTGTAAACCTAAAAGTGCTCTAAAAAATAAGTCTATTAATTTAAAAAAATCCTAAATCATGTCCTATCAGCAGGATTGAGAGTGAAAGGGTGGGAAGAAGCAGATTATTCTTAATGGATGGGGAATACAGCATATGATAACAAAAAGTGCTTGTGCTTGAATAATTTATTAAATGAATAAATACTGTGAAGACTCTATCTCCAAATGAGGTCACATTCTGAGGTACTGGGAGGAGGGCTTAAAACTTCAACATATGAATTTTTGTGGGACAAAATTCAACCCATAACACGAGGGAAGAAATGAAGGGCACATAGCAAGGCTGGACTTACGTCAGCTGCATTGGCCTGGAGCAGCCTAAGGCAAAGAGTTATGCAGCTGAGGGAAGTGAGTGGGAAGCCATGGGCTCCAGTCCTAGCTATGATGAAATAAAGCCAAAGCCGTTCAGAAGACTCAGGCAGAACTCTGAGAACTAGCCAGGGAGGAGCAAGCCCAACAACTGTTCCAAGCTTCATGCCAGGCAGGTGGAGGGTGGAGCAGGGGAGGAGTGTGACTGAGGAGAGTAACATGGTTAGACCTTTCAGCTATTTCTGGAAGCAGAGTGGAAGATAGGAATAGGGTAGGATGAGGCTGGGAGAGACAAAAGGCAGGAGAACAGTTAGAAGCTTTTGTAAAAGTTTAGTTGTGGTCCTACATGAAAACTTCAGTGGCCCTGCAAATCCCCTGCCACAAGAGAAGGAAGGGAATGAGAACTGGTGTGTGGGGGATGAAATGTAGAGAAAAGCAGTGACAGAGCATGAATTCAGGCTGAGAAAGAAAAGCAGCAAAGCATACATCTCTCAAAAGCATTTACCCTCACTCCTCATTGCCACAGTTTTCATTCCCCCTTTGCCCCCACTCCCAACTCCGTCGCTATCTCTCAGGTTTACTCATTTGTCCTAGTCCCGTTTATGGTAAAGTTCAACCTTTTCCTTCTGATGTGTTATGCAACTTCAACTATATATCAAGTGTCTGTTTACATGGGGGTCTGTTTCTAGACTCCCCATTATATTCCATTGTCTAGATGTCTATTGGTGCTTCCGTACCACACTGACATAATTACTATAGATCTGCATTAGTCATTTTTTATCTCCTTTTTTAAAATTTAGTTTTAATTTTGGTTGACATACAATATTGTATTAGTTTCAGGTGTACAACATAGTGCTTAGACGCTTATATACCTTACAAAGTGATCGACCACAATAAGTCTAGTACTGTATTAGTCTTAATATCTCATAGAGCAAGTCCTCCAATCTTCTTCTTTGTCTTTGAGAGTACCTAGAATGTCAACTGTAATTGAGTGCTTTGATCATCGTTAGCTCTTCTTACTTCCATACAAATTTTAGAATCAGCTTAAGTTTCATAAAAAGTTTGGGTTTACAATGAGATACCATCTCAGACCTGTTAGAATAGCTATTATCAACAGGACAAGTAATAACAAATGTTGGAGAGGATGCAGAGAAAAAGAAACTCATACACAGCTGGTGGGACTGTAAATTGGTACAGCCTCTATGGAAAACAGTATGAGTTTGGGTTTACAATGAGATACCATCTCACACCTAAGAATTGATCTATCATATGATCCAGCAATCTCTCTATTGGGTATTTACCCCAAAGACTTGAAAACATATATCCGAAAAGATATATGCACACCGATGTTCATAGCAGCATTATTCACAGTGGCCAGGACATGGAAGCAACCAAAGTGTCCTATGATAGATGATTGGCTAAAGAAGCTGTGGTACATATATACAATGGAATATTACTCAGCCATAAGAAGAGATGAAATGCTGTCATTTGTGACAACATGGATGGACCTTGTGATAATCATGCTAAGCAAAAAAAGCCAGACAGAAAAAGTTGAAAACCATCAATATCACTTACATGTGGAACATAAATCTAAAAGCAACAAACAAACAGAACAAACAAACAGAGACTCGTGGACATGGATAGTAGACTAGCGGTTACCGGAGGGTAGCAGGGGAAGGGGAGGGTCAAATATATGGTGGCATAAAGAAATCTAACTATGGGCAATGAACATACAATGCAGTATATATATGACTTACTGTTGAATTGTACACTTGAGACTTACTGGATTTCATAATAATAAAAAAAAAGTTTGGGTTTGATTGGGATTTTATTTATTTCATAAATCACTTTAGGGAGACTTGTCATCTTAACCATATCAGATCTTCCAATCCGTGAGCTTAGTAACTTTCTCCTTTAAAATATGTCTTCTTTAATATCAGTAATGTTTTATTTTCTTTGAAAAAGACTTACATATCTTAGATTTATTCCTAGACACAATATTTTTTGCCATCGAAAATAGTATCTTTAAGACATTTATTTTCTGTTTGTCCCTGGCAAATAGAAATAATCAATATTTATAAATTGATTTTTGTATCCAGGAACCTTACCAAACTCTCCTATTAGTTCTAATAGATTATCTATAGACTCTACTGGAGTTTCATATTTTCTTCAAATGACAGTTCGTTTCTTACTCTGTAGTCCTCAGAATTTTATTTCTTTTCTTATTTATTGAATTGACTAGGGCTTTTAGTAAGGCATTGACTCTAGAGATGACCGAATTCAAATTCACATTTTAAAGGTGAAGCCAAAGAGATTTGTTGACAGATTGTATTTAGGCTGTAAGAAGAATCAAGGTTGAGTTTGGGTTTTTAGCCTGAACTTTTGGAAGAATGGCATTGCCATTTACTACAGACAAGGACAGAGGTTTGTTGATCATATAGTACAAGTAATTAAATGAAGAAAGACAAAAACTGACTGATATTTATTGGCAATGAATACTCTCTCTAACAGACTTTAGCCTGGTTTTCCACTTTTGAAACTACTCGCTCCAGGGAAGATTTAGACATTCACCAGTGCTCTCTGTAGTTTCACTTGCGACTTCCTATTCAGCTACTGCCCTCTATAGGAGGTTTGTCTGAATATAAACTGTGCCTTCTGATTAAACCCAATCAAAAAATATGGAATAATTCTTCCCTCTGGCCTCAAGCTTTCCTGTTTCCACTACACATGCGCGCGCACACACACACACACACACACACACACACACACACCTACCTACCTATCTTATTTTGCCATTTTTCTCCAGGTCAGATAACTATAAGAGAATCTTCCATCCAGGAAACTTGGGCCCTGCAATGCATTCACAAGTAGCTTGTCTAAAAGGATGTTCTAGAGAGGCCAGCTGTATTTCCGTCCGGTTATCCGAAGAACAATGAAGAAACAATGAAGGGGTAATCCCTGCAAAAGAGATCTTTGGTCATACAAAAAGGCCTCATTGTCCTAACTGGAACCCAATTTGACTATCCTTTATCAACATGTCCCTCAAGGCATTAGTAAAGGCTTAGGTGTCCTTGCACAAAGAAGCAAGAATACCAGTACATTCAACAATCCAAACCACTCAATTCCCTGATGTTTATTCAACACACCTGTAGGTTATCTCATTCTGGTCAGATAGGCTGCTCTCACCTTTTCCACATCTCATCTACCCAGTCTCAAGACTGTAAGCTCCAAAAAGGCAGCGACCTTGTCCTCTAAACCTCTCTGTCCTCAGTGTCCAAAACAGTGCCTCTCACATAACAGGCATACAATAGTTTTAGGAATTGACATTTTAAAGCCTTTTTTTTTAAATTACCTGAGTTAAACTTTCTTTTATTGTAACTGAAAATCAATATTGTTCAAAACAGGTGAGTCAAGAAGCTGCAAGGAGGTAAATATCAGAAGAGCTGCTGGAGTTAAAAACTTTTTGCCCCTAGGGAATGGAAATCCAGTAGGGAGAGGACAGATGTTTTTTAAACAATTTTTACCGCTTTCATTTTTGAGTTATTTGAAATTGCTTTGATTTTCTACTTTACGTGTTTAAATTATATACATTCACAATATCCTATTCATTCTGTGTATAGCCTGCCTTTGTTATCTATATGTACACACATTCGCATTAATATAGTTGTTTGCAATTATAGCTATGTATTTTATTGTAAGCCTTTTTTTTTTCATTAAACGTGCTCTGTCATCATACAGCTTTTCACGTTTCTACACTCTTCCTCTTTATTGTGTTAATGGCTGCATGTTGTTCCAACGTGCTATTGTGCCATGATTTAGCTAAATACCCTAACATAAAACATTCAAGGTTGTTTTCATTTTTCCATTAAAAAGATGCAGCGATGAAGACTTGGAAGCACGTGGTCTTGTTAGTTTCGTTTCTTTGAATCATATTGTTGGACCATATCCTGAGGTTCCATCTAGGTATCCCTGAGTCAGACTAGGAACAGAGAGCG